AGTTCGAAGATGCCAGGTCTTTCATTTTGCAGACGTCAGAGCTTTGTCTTGAGGGTCCTCGGACTCTAGTCTGGGCCCCAAGCCATCCTAATGGTGGAAGCCTTCGATTGCCAGAAGGCGAGCCCAAACAAGCAATGGTCTCATAAGGCCTTTTCCATTTCCTTTTGCATTATCCCAGTATTACCCTTATATACCCCATTATAATATAGTAGTTCCCATTTTCCTTTCCATTATCCGATTAAGGTATGAACCAGCAGCCATCACTCTGAAGCCCTCAGCCTGCAAACCAAAGCCATTCAGCCAAAATCGTAGATGGGATACTCCCCAAATTAGAACTTTAGTATTTTGGGGTCTATATTGGGGTCCCCTTATTTAGGGAAACTACTAGATGCAGTATAGCTTCCAGATTGTCTCACCACATGGATCCCCCAGCCCCCAAAGGAGTGGTGCTGGAAGTCCTTTGGCAGGTCACAGGAGACTCAGGAACATCATGTGGAGCATTCTTTGGTGCTACCTCCTGAGACCATCTACTCCACAAAAAACTTGTAGTTACTTGTATTCATTTTGGGAATCTCACATGCACATCCAGCGATATTTTCAAATGGTCTTTGCATGGGACGAATGAGACCTTCAACCATAATCCAGGGGATATGCACGAATCAGACCCTTCCCTAAACCCTAAAACCCTAAACCCTAAACACTAAATCCCTAAACCCGAAGTACGGCACAAGAAGAGCCCAGCAGCCTCAGGGCCGTGTCCTTCCCGGGCGCGCTCATTGCTGCGCTCCTGCTGGCGGCCTCTCAGCTTGCTTTAGCAAATGCCTTGAGGGATAGGGCTTAGGGTTTAGGGCTTAGGATTCAGGGTTTAGGATTTAGGATTTGGGTTTAGGGGTTTTGGTTTGGGGTTTTGGGTTGTTTCGGAGTTGGAGGTCAGGATGTGGCCTTTGTTGAACTCTTCGGATGGACCTCTTCTGTCTACCTAAGGATGATTGCAAAGACACCCTGGAGGTGTGGCAGAGTAGTAGACATGTTTCGCAAGATGTTGCGACGTTAGAGGTGTCAAGGTCTTGCGGCAATAGTGTGACTACCCATGCGGACGGCTTTCTTGAGCTTGCAGAGCTTGGAATTTATGGTCAGCAGGTTGTGGGTCTGTGGACGGGGTCTATCGGGTTTCATTCGAGCTTTGGGGGGTTACCCTGGACCATAATATACTATCACATACAAGAATATACACTGATCAATAATATGGTAGTTTCCCAAAACAAGGGGACCCCAATATAGATCCCAAAATACTATAGGCCTTATTATGGGGACCCCCAAAAAGGATACCCCTAATTTTAGGAAACTCCCATATATTACAATGTACTAGAATATACAAAGCTTAAAGGAGGCCGCGATCGCGTGATTGCATGAACCCGCTGCGCCCAGCAATTCTGGACTTCGGGTGTCTGAAGTCGACGCTTCCCTGACTTCTCTGCACTTCTGATCCCATAGGCCCCATGCAAACACCAAACGCCCACATCATAGACCCTATTATAGCATAGTAGTTTCCATTTTCTTTTCCATTATCCCCCTATACAATCCCAATATTATACCCTATTATAGCATAGTAGTTTCCATTTTCTTTTCCATTATCCCCTATACAACCCCAATATCATACCCTATTATAGCATAGTAGTTTCCATTTTCTTTTCCATTATCCCCTATAGAACCCCACTATTCTACCCTATTATAACATAATAGTTTTCAGTAGAGCCCAGAAGCTCATCTGTCTGCTAGAGCCCAAGCCCAGTGCCCTGGCAAGGTGCTCTTCACCAAGCGCCGGAAGGAGAAGGCAGAGTGATGTGCCAGGCCGCGAAGGAAAAGGCCGCAACGCAGAATTATAGGTTTAGGATGTAGGATTTAGGGTTTGGGGTTTAGGATTTAGGGTTTAGGGTATCTTATTTAGGATGTACGGCAGCAGTCCAGGGTAGCGATATCGCGTACTTGGTGTCGGCACTCATAGTTCTGGCTGGCCAGTAACTGAGCTAGCCTCTTTGGGTTTATGTACAGGGTATAGTAGTTTCCATTTTCTTGTCCATTATCCCAACACAACCCCAATATACTTTAGTAGTTTCCATTTTCTTTGCCAGTATCCAGAGGAACTCTCTTCTTCTTTCAGAGTTCCAGGAGCTTCCGGACGGCTGGACCCGCAAGGCGAGTCGAAGCCGGCGCGGGGCCTCAAAATGAGGTGGAGGATTCCGTTTCATGGGAATGTGATTGGTCTACAAGGCTTTCATGGGGTGGGGATACATTGTATGTATGTGTGTGCATATGCATACATACACACACACATATATATATATATTTACTTACTCATATTCGTACAGAAATGGCAAAGGCTTGTTTTTTCTTACTCCGCAGTCTGCTCTTGCTTTTGGGTTTTGGGTTTTGGACAGGCGTTGAGGTGGCGCTACACGCCTCAGACTCCAACCTCAGCAGCGACCCCGAAGCTATCTAAAACGCTTGGAGCCCAAGCAGACGTGTTGAGAGTCCATCCCTAAACCCCTAACCCTAAACCCTAAATAACAGTTTCCATTTTCTTTTCCATTATCCATGTATAAGCCCAAAATTATACCCTATATAACTCCAATATAACACCCATAATCCCTGTAGTCTTCATTTTCTTTTCCATTATCCCCTATATAACCCCCATATACCGCTAAATGCTGCAGCCGACCGAGGCCTGGTGTATTTTACTACGTCAATGTGGTGGCTGGCTTAGACTAGAGCAGAAATGGGAACGCCCCAGCTCAACAGCCCGATCTTTGGCGGGTCTGTCCATGTTCGAAAGGTCTGTACACGGGTGACTCCCACACCTTGAGCACTGCTAGCCGTATGTAGGGAGTTGTCATGGGGGTACAGGACGTTTGTGTCAGGGTATGTGCAGGGTTTGCAAGTCAACGTCTTTAAGAAATCTGCGTCCCAATGAGAGTCCTTCCGTGTACGTTCCCCATGGGTTGCTCCATGAATTCTTGCAAAGCCTATCATGATAACCATCCCTGAGGTGAAACAGGGCCGTGTTTTTTTTGAAAGTCCTCGGGTCTGCACAGAGCATGCGTGGCTCTAGCTTCTCCAACAGCACGGTGGAAGGTTCCTAGGTCCCCTAGTGGGTCTGTAGACTTCCTGGGGGTTTAGTAGGGAATAAGGGAATACTTTGCATAGCGATCATAAAAGAATTGCACCCCCTTTTTCCCTACTATAACCCCCAATGTATACCTTATTATGATGCAGCAGCCTCCATTTTCTTTTCCATTGCCACCAGTAAGTATCTCTAAAACCCTAAACCCTAAACCCTAAAACCTAAACTCTAAACCCTAAACCTGACCCTTAACCCTAAACCCTAAAATTTAGATCCTAAACCCTGAGGCCTAAAACCTAAACTAGGTCTGTAGACGGTTTCATTCAACAAGTCCCTTCCTCCGGAGCCCATTTGAACCTGGGGTGCTGGCCTGTGGGCTGAGGGTGCCTTGAAGTCCTCAGCGAGGGAACCTAAAAGTAACGATAGTGAAGACATTATAAGTTCATAGTAGTTCTAATAGTCATAATGATATCATATTTTAAGAATAGTATTAATAGTAATCATAGTAGAAGCAGCTTTATAAGTAAGAATATTTGGAAGCAATGAGAATAAGAGTAGTTTTTGGATCCCCACCTTTCAGGTCACGGGGGAGCAGTCGTTCAAGTCCCCAGCCGAGGAGAGCGCAGGGTCCCTTCGAAGAGTATGCGGAAGACCCCCCCCACTCTGTAATAGTGGGGCTATACAGCCATTGGGGTTTTGGGTTCAGGGTAATAGTGGTACAGGGTTTAGGGTTTACAATATGAGTATTTTCCCACCCTGTAAGTGGTATAGTAGAAAGAGAAGAGGACCCTTATAGTCACTATTAATTACTGGATGGGGGCTCCTCATGGGGGCTCCTCCTAAGCATGTTCTTTTTCCTGGTTAGAGGGGGGGCGTAGGCCTTTCGGCATTCCTTCTAAAGGTTTCTGAATGGCCACTATTGTCATCATGTGTGGGTCTCCAAGTCAGTGGAGACGACGAAGTCCTTGGAAAAGCTGCAAGTTGGTCAAGATGTTTTGGACGAGTTCAGTTGCAGGGTTTGACGTCTGGCTCGAAGTACTTGGGCATCCTGGGCTGATGGACCTGTCAGCCTCAACCTGCACATAAGGACCAAAACCAGAGGCTCCTGTCCTCTCAACACGCAAACGCTGATGCAATACATGCTTCTCCTTACGCAAGCGAATCGTGGGACAGAGGCCCCTGGCTCCTCAGAGGAGCTCTGCCACAGGACAAAGCAGCCTCGGGCAAGCTGCCAAGCAAAGTGAAGCCAACTGCAGCCAGCCAAAACAAGTGCGCATTTGGTCTTTGCTGTCTCTTGATGCAAACGATCCTCTGCTTGAATGCTGCTTGCCGCTTGACCAGCACCATGGACGGTCTTCGGATCTCAGGGCGTGAAGTCCGTTGCTTCTTTTTGCACCACGCTGCCCGCCCGATGCCTGTTGATGTCGGAGCGAATATGCGAGGAGATTCTTTGCGCAGTGTCTCATCTCTAACGCAAGCATGCCGGCTGAGACGCTTTTTGGCTAGGCCAGTGCAGGTTGAGGGCTAATGATGCCAAAGCCTGAGAGCATAGGATTGAGCTGGGTCAATGGTAGCCGTCTCGGCTCCAAGCGCATAGAGCCAGTAGCACGAGTCATCCTCCACATTCAGACTGGCTTTGGGCCCATGCCTTGAAACCCACAAGCCTGGACCCCAAACAACCCGCTCAAACTCACCGAACTCTTAGTGTTCGCTACCTAGCCCTGTACAGCAGCTGACCAGTGGCTTAGTAGTGAATAAGGGAACGTAATCCCTATATAATCCCTATATAATATCTTCCCACATTCCCTGCTAAGACCCAGTAAATCAACTTCATTCGGGCGTTCGCTGATCAATCGCTGCTCTGCAGCCGCAGGCAGCCATGGCAGGTGCCTTAGACTCTCTCCCTAAACGATCTATAGTCTTAACTCCTTAAAGGTGATTATATGGGGTTTAGGGTTTAGGGTCTAACCTCTATAAAAGGGTGTGGGAGTATTATAGGGGTTATTAAGGGGGAAGCTCGGAGTTTAGACGATAGTGGTTCGTATAACCACCATGTAGTATGTACCCTTAGTACCCCTATACGCCACGCCCGGGCCACAAAGCGTACTTGGTAGATGTGGGCCCATGGCCATACAATGGCTTTGGCTGTTTGCAATGAGATTGTTTAGGGCTTAGAGCGCCCGATTCCCGACCACTGTCTTGGCAAGAGGCATCCCATCCAACACCTGCATCCATAGCAGCAAGCCCAATGTGGTAGTTTCCCGAAATAGGGGACCTCAACATAGACCCCAAAATATTATAGTCCTTACTATAGGGACCCCAAAGGGTAACCCTAATTTTGGGAAACCTTCAACCCTAGACCCTAAATAGTAGTTTTCATTTTCCACTATCCCTATATAAGCCCCATACATGCGTCCGCGCTCCGCGTTCTCAGCCCCCCTCTCCCATGGTCCATGGTATGGTCCCAATGTGGGAATATGCCTAGCTATGACCTCCCAGAATCTGAACTCTCCGCAAAAACTTCTCTAAAACCTTCTAGAAACCCCCTCAAAAAATCTCTTGAGACCTCTAAACACCTGCTATTGAATTAATGAACTGTCTGCAAAC